AGTTGGGACTAAGCCAAACTCCTTCGGCCCACCAACAAATTTCCCACTGCAGCCCATCATAACAAGCCCAACCGTGACCAAAATCAAGACAAAAGCAAACCACGCCATGGTTGCCACGTAACCTCCCCTGCCCCTCCCCACAACCCTCTCCTCCTCCACAACAACCACTTTCTCCACCGGAAAAGTACACGTCATCCAATCGAATTCCGACCAATCAATCTCTGGCTCGTCTCCAAAGAGCTTTCTCCCCTTTAGCCTGCCGCTTGCGAAGGCGGCCCTTCTGTCGCGGAGAATTTCCCGGACAGCCCACGAGCGTTCGGGAGGGGACTTGATTAGGCCTGTTGGGGGAGACAGGTGATGGGAATAGGTGAGGGCGCTTGTGGTGGTGGTGGGGTCTGATTTGGGACTTTGGGGATGATTTATTCTTGGCCTGGAATTGTTTTTGAAGGAATTCCAGTCCTTTTCGAGGGTGTGAAACTGTTGGATAAGCGCTGCGTACTTTTTATTGGATTCGGCTTTTGCTGTTCTACTACTGCTCATGTTTTTTTACTTTCTATTATTATTTATGGTTGCTATTGCCTTTTTTGGTTAAAGGTTGATGATTGTTTCGTGCATGGTGGGGTTATGGAGGAAAAAAAACGAGAGTATTGGGGGATTTGAAACTGCTCCCACGTCCTGTTTTTTCTCAAATTCAAATTCAAAATAATGGATGATGATAATAATAATAATAATAATAATAATAATAATAATAATAATAATAATAATAATAATATAATAAAATCATAACTGCACTGTATTTAGCAGTCTTAGCTACTGTTTTTAATTTTTCTTTTTCTCTTTTCTTTCTAGAATTAGGCTTGGAGACCTAACCTTCAAGGTAAAGTACGCCTTGTATATAATATAAATCTCACCAAATCACCATTTGATATTTTGATTTATTAAAAAGCTTCAATATCAGCAATACGCAAAAAGACTAGTTATAATTCCAGGAGTATTTATTTTCAGGTGTGTACGATGCATGTAAATGGTTCTTGATGGTAGAATGATCCATTAGATTATTTACCATTAATTGAGGTTGTTCGAATTTTAATTGATTTATTCCATACATTTTGGTGCAAGAATGAAAGAAGCTATGATTTTCCAGCTTTATTGGAATTTTTTAATCTTAAGAAATAAAATTTGCGATTGACACGCTGAAATTTTATACTAAATTTCATTAACTAAACAAAATGTATACCTTGTATTCACACACACATTGGAATGAAAACTATCACATAATTTTCTTTTTTTACTCAACTTGCACACAAGACTCGAGACAATAATCTCTCAACCATTTATGTTTATGTGCCCATCTCGACGAAAACACATGGCCATTACATGAAGTTGTTTCCAAATTACTTCAAAAGTTCATAAGTGCAGTTCTGGTGACATTGCAAAATGGCCTAACTTGATCGCTGAAACTAAAGTAAAGTTTAGACTACATTTAGTTTAACAGCTCTAACAATCATTAGAAAGAGCATACTCTGAAGATCAGTTACAAACAGTGCCAAGATTTACCTTTGTCCTAAACCACAGCAACAAAACTGTCTCCCGATGTATGTTTAGAAATATCTTCAATTATGCCTTTTCCAGATTTCTCTTTAGATATATCTTCAATTACGCCTTTTCCATCCATGGCGTCAAAGAAGAAGAAATTCATCAGAGGATCTCCTTTCCCTGATATTGCCTTGATAACTTCCTAAAATTGAGGATATTATTATTAAGTCAGCACCAAAATTATCACCAACATTTAATCAAAGAACCTAGACTAACAATTTGTTCAATATGAAAAGATAGTTGCGAAAAAAATTTGTTCACCTGTCCAAGTATTCCCCCAACAACAGCACAAACAGGTGGAAATTCTCTTCTACCTTCTAACAATCTCTCGAGTAGGGAATCCGGAATTTGAGATTCATTCACAGACTGCATAAGTTATATAATGTACAATTAAGTAATGAAAAAACATGTCAGGCATGTAGCTTGATAAAACCTTAATATAATTTGCATGGTCTTTACATTTGCCTCACAAAGTTCCTTCTTCAGCTTTTGAATGTACGGTAAATCCGCGGCAGAAGTGTCCCCAGGACTGCGGTTTTCAAGTTCCTCATATCTTTCTATCACTGTATGGATTAGATCCAAGAGGAAAGAAGTGTATGATTAGAAAATGAGTATTTTAGGATTAACACTAAAACAGAAAGAACAAAATTAAGCTACAGTAGCACAAATCATTAACCCAAATTTTTTATTTCACTGTTCTCTGGTTTTCTGATTTTGTATGCATAATTAATCAGATAACTCTTCTGCATACAGATTTAATTAAAATACAAATTGCTCTAGCAGCCTTCTCAGGAAATATATAACTATTATAAACTATATGACGAATAAATAGTACTTGAACAGACAATAATAGAATCTGTGCTCTGCACAAGAGCCAACCAGATCCAATATAACATAACCTCATTAAAGCCTAAACAAGCAACTAACAATCCTTTCCAAGATGTCCAAACGCACAACTGACCATGAAGATTTGCACAGAAAGTCAGAAATGATAGTTCTTCTAATGAAAAATGTAACATTTAACAAAATAATAATGAAAACAAGAAGGAAATAAATGGAAAAAATTAAAATTACAAATGTACCTCTCATGGCCAAGTACAACTTAGACACCCTCCTAGGAAGAGACTTCCAGGGGACTGAAATAGCTTCCTGTGCATATAGAAAAACGAAAAAATAAAATAAAAAATAATCATTAGAATTGCTATGCAAGGCACTAAAAGAAAGCCTATCCTTTTATGACTGCTCCAGCCTCCAGAAACAATAAAAATAAATGGAATAAATAGACTAGTCTTCCTGCCTGAGGATTTCTATCAATAATATTATAGGAGAAAAAGGTTAAACAATTCTGAAAAGAAGCTAAGTGCCTGAGGTTTTCCATCATTTATTCTCATTAGCTTAGTCTTCTCTGATGATTTCTGCCAATCCTTCCAATTTCAGGAGCTATCTTCCGAATAATTCTTGTGTTGTTAGATTATACTTCCTAGATATTTTACCAACAAAGTAGAATAATATTTTCCAGATGCAGTCACAATTCAAGGGTCAAACCACACTTCATAGTGAATTGGTTTTGCAGAACATGTCGTTTATTGTCCGAAAAAGAAAAAGAAAAAGAGAAAAAATACCAGCTGCTGCATTATAATGAGTAGGCAATTCAATGGTGTTGGAAGTTGTTATCTCATACCTCAAAACTAGGATATTCAAGAAGGCATTCAGCATTTTTATCACATTTTTTCTGTCAGCACAGAAGAAGAAAAGAATTAGATGCAGTTCAGACAGAACATTCAATCCTAAAGTACAGATGGTGAAAGACGTGCATAAAACAAGCACATAAACAAAAACTAATGGTCCTCCAATCATTACCTCAGTATGCACAAAAACTTTCACTTGCAGAAATTCAATAGAGAGGGGAAAAACTTAAAAGAGGATCGCACAAGATATAACAGAACACGTCCACAAACAACTATTGCATACAATATAAAAATGAGAATGAAAATTGTTTACCTTGGAGTAGATGTAGTTCTGTAAGTCAACAAATATTTCACCACAGGAGTCTCTGCAATCCACCGTATAAAATGCAATACGCTTCGACAGCTTGCGACATTTCTCATTAACTGATTGCTGCAGCGGTTACATTAGAACAGTTAAATAAATGAAAATTGATTTGATAGTTAAACATTTATAAGCAAAGCGTTGGAAGAAAAAACAATAATAAAATAAAAATAAAATTAATCAAAAAACTTGTTTTGCACTAGGAGTCTAGGACGAGAAGATACTTTTATTGAAAGTGAGCAAGAACTGATGACTACAACATCGAACTTGTCAAAGAAATCAACAGTAAAGCTGGACAAGTCTCCTGCACATATCAAGTAACCTTCCATGATCAGTGGCTTATCAAGATGAAGAAATAAAATCTTTTTATATAAAAGATGTTAGATGTTAAACAGAAGTTGCAAACATCACTGACACATACCGTGAGTCACATATAGAGTAAATTGAAAACATGGGCATTACGTTTTCTGAGTTAACAATGTCATGCCAAATAAAAGAATTCAATCATGTAAAGGTCACATATATATTAAAAGAATCCGAAACTTTTGCTTAACCTTTTACCCTTAAATTACAAGCCAATCCTCTAAGAAATACTTAGTCGCATAACAATATCAGGCTTATGCACTTACATCAAGCTATATAGTTAGGAACACTGAACCCAGAATCCCCATTACAGAACCACTAAAATCTGTCAATCACTCACTGCATTCACAAGCAAGGAACATTTGCAAAATAAAGGGAAATGGGCCACCTTTCACAACTGAAACTTGAACCATTGGGTTGAAATCTTTCAAAGAATCACAACAGAGCTCCGCAAGAGACTTCCCCGCATACGCATTTTCATCAGGAGGAATCAAAAAGTTGGATGACAACAAGTCCTCTGACACCATCCGGTCATCGTTCAATGTTAAACTACCAACTCCTGCTAGCACAACATTCTTGCAAAACTGACAAAATACCAGAATAGTACATTCAGTAAGGCGCGGATATATATCTCAACTGCGACTTCAGCACTCAACAGACAAAGGTAGGAAGATTATACGTATAAAAAGAGAAAACACCTCGATCACAGTGCCTTTTAGTCCACTGACGAGAATACGAGACTTGCTTAGCCTAAAATCAAGGAACAGATGCAAAAGGCTCATTTATAAAACAAACACGAATGCTTATACATAAATATATAGTAAGAAGCGTGTGGTTTCAGATACCTTCTTTGAGCATCGGCGCCCCAAACTCGAATTTGGCGATCATAGAGAGCAGTTTCGTGCTCCGTCAATTCCTCGCCGTCCATGTCCAACTGCAGGCAGAAATTACCCAACAAGATTCTTGCTTCTAGAGAGAGAGAGAGAGGGGGAGAGAGATGACAATTCAAAAACCCTAAGCTTGAACTTGACTTGCTTGGACTGGAATTTGAAGACACGAGTGAGGCTGCTCTGCGAATAACACTGCCAAGTGCTAACGTCCGTAAACTACAACACCTCATTTATTTGATTATTTTTAGAGCACGTTTGTTTAACTGATTAGATAGGATAAGGCCACTTATCATGGCCTAATCCGTCGTTTGTCCACAAAAATAAAAGCCCGAGATAATTATGTGGCCCGAGATTAAATCTAGAGAAATCCTACATATGTAAGATAAAATAATCACGCGGTGGGTGTGTGCGATTAAAATTATCTGCAACTGACTATTGTGTGAAACTATAATATTGTCCCTATATTTTGTATTCTTGCTCCGAAGATTCCTCAAGTTTTTAGCCATCTCCATCGATGTTGGGCCGTATTAATCAACCTCCATCATCGCCAATTTCTCAAATTTCTAGAATGAAAAATAAGAATTGAACACAAAACAATAATTAATAGAGAAGAGAAATCATAATCTTAACAAAAGTCCTAATTTAAAAGTAAATCCCAGTGCACATCAATATTTCTTCTTTGACATCCCTTTTTTTCATAAAAATAAAAACAAGAAAACTCGCGAGTATGGAAAGGCGGTACCACGACTGCGCAACAGAGGCGGGACGGAAACTTTGATAACAACGATGGAAGCAGTGACGGATCTAGGAATTTTTTTCAGGAGGGCCCAATTTTAAATGTTAAATTACGAACTTGTAATTTAAGTCGAAACACTCATTCTATATAAAAATATATTTATTATAAATATAAATATCGAAATGTGCATCATCAAGTTTTTAAAAACTTAGAATCTATATCACCCTCAAAATTTAAAAAAAAAAAATTATAAAATTTCATGTATTTATAATTTAAGTTCAACAACTATATTTTATAAAAAAAAAAATAAGTTTTTTTTGGTTAAAAATTGATATAAATTGAACTTTTGTAGCATATTGCATAGCATTTTTGTTGATGAAAGCTTTTCAAACGAACATTTTTTTAAAAAATACAATGAAGTTAAAAATATGTGATTATACAAAAAAAAAATCAACATTAAAAAGTATAACTATCTAATTAAATACTTGTTTTTATAAATCACTAAATTTATTCACAATTAAGAGACCAAAAGAGTAAAACATTATAAACATTTTCAAAAATTTATCTAGAAATGTAAAATATAAAGATTGTTAGCACATTTTTCAATAAATAAATAATACTATTAATTTAAATTAAAATAGCATAGAAAATAAAATTTTAATTAATAATATATTGTAAATATTTTTTACATTTCTATACATATTTTATAATTTTTATATATATATAAATATAGATATTGATAATATATAATACATACATNAAAAGCTTGGCAATGAAAGATTCAACAAAATCGAAAGAAAAGGATTGAAAGGAAAAGGAAAGAATGGAAGTGAAAATTGTTGATGGTAGTTTTTTGTTGAAATGAGGGCAAAATTGAGAATACGAAATTTTATCTCATGAGTTATCAAGCAAAACAAACATTGTGGAAAATAAATATTATCTTATCCGAATTAACAATCATGCACAACAAATGTGAATTTAATTTTATCTGCACAGTACAATCCACTCTTCCCTCACTACTTTAGTCTAATCTCATCTTACAAAACAAATGAGCTCTTAAATGATTGGCTAGGATTCAAAGACTTATCCCGTGTTTACCAGCCCTTACTTATCATGATTAAGGCCCGCAATATTGATGAAGCTATGGAATCCTCAATCCTGAGCTAATGGGATATACGGATCCAAAGAGAATTGGGATTATTCACTAATTCCAACTTAGGAAAATATCATCTTACCCTGGAAATATTGATAAAAAGTACAAAATAAATTACAGTGAAACATTCATAAACCCTATCAAAATTTTAGGGTAATACTTGAAGAAATGCTCGGTCGACCCATCGTGTACCACGTCGTTTATGTTGGAAGATCAATTCTTAAAGAATTGGATTTGACTCGGTTTGGACTGGATTGATTGTGGGATTTGAAGGGTCAAGAATCGTTTATCACATTAGACTCTTAAATGATATTTACTTTCTTTATGATAATAAAATAAAAAGAGTTGAAGAGGTCACAACAACAACAAAGTTATGCACCAAGTGTTGGTGATGGCTTTGGCCACACGTGCGCGCCCGGCCCCCTGATGGTCGGTTGGCTCGGCTTGGCTTGGGCTCAGGCCTTGGTCTTTGGTCCTTGGTCCCCGGTCCTTGGTCTTTGGCTTGGATTATTTGTTGGGATTTGGGACCGGGGGGCGTGGACTGAATTTTTTTTTATAACTATATTAGTCCATGTGTTATTAAAATAATAGGCGACATGGATTTCTTTTTTTCTTTTTTTTTTTAACATTCCACATGTGTATTCCGACGAGACACGTCAGCTCTATTGGTGCCGGAGTTGAAAAGCATGATTCGATTTGCAAAGAAGCAAAAGATCATGTACTTAAGTGCTAATATATATGAAGGTCGTAATTGGAATGCAAAAACATGAAAGGTGATGCTTTTATATGCAATTTTTTCAAACATAAAGTCCATCAATCTTTGAGCTACTTAGACTTAACTGGTGACTTCAAATTCATATTTTCTCATATATCCAACTTATAATTAATTTCTCATTCGCCATATATAAAATGATTTAAAGAATTCTAAAATCTTATATTTACAAAATATGAAATCGTACGATAGGTGCAAAACTAGCTAGTTTTTCTTACTCACTACTAAAAGAAAAAAAGAAGAAAAAAGCATAAGGCTTATTAAAACATGATGACTATGAGCATAATAATTTTTTTATTTTTAACCTCTTATATTTTATTTTTTCCAAATATTTTCCAAGTATTATCTCACTTATTATTTGCATATGACTCTTTGTTTTTCTGTAAAGCAGGAGTGGATCAAGCTACTGTTCTTCTTAACTTGCTTGAGCAATATAGGCTGTTTTCATGGCAACAGGTTAATTTACAAAAGTCTACAGCATTTTTCAGTAAGAACACTCCACAACAGCTCCAACATGCTATCTGTAGCTCTCTGAATAGAATTGTTGCTCACAGATCAACCAGGTATTTGGGATTGCCTCTGGGCATTGGAAAGTCAAAATAAGAGGTATTTGATTATCTCCTTACTTCCGTGAAAACCAAACTCAATAGCTGGAAATCAAACCTGCTAAGCGCTGCTGGAAAGGAAGTGTTACTCAAACCTGTGGTTCAAGCTCTACCCATTTTCTCTATGTCTTGCTTTAAAATTCCACGAACACTTTGTTCAGAGACATCCAAATTGTGTGCTGAATTCTGGTGGAGATCAGGTAATCAGAATACCAATGGCGTTCACTGGAAGAAATGGACTCTTATTACTCTTCCAAAATTGCAAGGAGGTCTGGGTTTTTTGGATCTCAGATTGTTCAATCAAGCATTGGTCGTTACATGCGACCACCCCTTTGAGGGTGGACATGTGCTCGAAGACAAAAAATCCATCATGATTAAGGCCGAGAGGCTGGATGGTCGCATGTAACGACCACCCCTTTTGAGGGTGGACATGTGCTCGAAGACAAAAAATCCATCATGATTAAGGCCGAGAGGCTGGATGGTCGCATGTAACGACCACCCCCCTTTGAGGGTGGACATGTGCTCGAAGACAAAAAATCCATCATGATTAAGGCCGAGAGGCTGGATGGTCGCATGTAACGACCACCCCTTTGAGGGTGGACATGTGCTCGAAGACAAAAAATCCATCATGATTAAGGCCGAGAGGCTGGATGGTCGCATGTAACGACCACCCCTTTTGAGGGTGTACATGTGCTCGAAGATAAAAAATCCATCACGATTAAGGCCGAGAGGCTGGATGGTCACATGTAACGACCACCTCTTTTGAGGGTGGACATGTGCTCGAAGACAAAAAACCCATCATGATTAAGGCCGAGAGGCTGGATGGTCGGATTTAACGATCACCACTCTGAAGGTGGACATGTGCCAGGAGGCATTTAAAGTCATTGGGATTCATTTAATTTATCTGGATTAGTTAAGTGAATGAATGGCGTGACTTTAAAAAACGGCAGAAACGATATCGTCGCACAGAGATAACACAGGATGAATAATGAAAACACCATACACAATGATACATTGACAGGCGAACAACGTGAAATAACGAGAATTCGAAAACTTCAACCTGAATGATATTCATTTAACGCAAAAGGAGTACAATGTTCAACGGAAATTAAATTACAATTTTATGAGGCAGCATTCGGATCAGCATTAAAATCGGGGTCATTGGAGGCCTGCTCTGGTGGCGGCTCGAGCTGCTGCCCCACAGGCTCAGTCGGCTGGTTCGAGCCAGAGGTCGACCCAGCTCCATCGGCGGCCTGAGTTTGTCGAGCAAGGGGAGGAATGTAGCCGTCGGGGAGTTTGAAAGTGCGCTTCAGCAGGTCGTCCTGATCCACGACGAGCTCGAGCAGGCCTGACCACCAGTCGTGGTCGTCGGGCAGGTCGAGGGCACTTTGATAGCCGACGGGAGCCTTGGGCATAGCATCCCATATGGTCTCCATATTGAACTCCTCGAACCCGTCCTCGGCAACCTGGACCCCGACTTGCTGCATGATGGCCCCAAAGCAATGGGTGCCATAATCTTGAACATCTTTTAAATATTGGGGTGACTGCTTGAAAGCAGCCATCACTTGCTCGCGGTAAGCTTGTAGGAAGCGTCGACCGGCGGTCGTGTAGAAGACCATTCGCCGAGCCCGAAGGGCAGCCTCATCGACCAAGGGCTTAGCTCTCTGCTCGAATGCAACATTTTCACGGGCCCGAGCTAACTTCTCCTCCTCGAGCGCAGCTTCGAGAGCCTTTTTGGAGGCCATGAGGGCCTCTTTCTCCGCTCGCTTAGCTGCGAGGGCCTCCTCGAAGGATTTCACGGCCCCCTCGAGCGTCTCATTCTCGGCGGAGAGAGCCTTATTCTGAGCAGCTGACTCCTTCAGCCTCTCGTGAAAGGCATTGGCCTTGACGACCATCTCGTCCAGTCGAGTGCCGAGCTGGAGATTA